CCTTTTTGCATAATATCACATAGATGTATTAAAGGAGCTCAACATAACTGTGAATTATAAGGAGATTTGAATATTCATTATATTCTCTATTTATTATGTCATAATGGATGATCAGTTTTTATATGCATATATACTATATGGTCAAAAGGTTTTGGACATCTGACCGTCATATCTATTGTAATTGAAAAGTAGTGGGGAGCAAGTACAGGAGTTTGACAAATGTAATTTCACTTTTGCTGTTGGACAAAATCTTCATTTTATTTAAATATAAACTTTCTCTAGCATGCATATACTTTGAATTATGCAGACTCCTGGACAAGTAGAGTCCTTTAGCTTCTTTAATTTTATTGCCATTTTTGCATGCACTCAAGCCCAGCAATCTTGTTTCACTTTGGTCTCAATCTGCATTTCCAGCATTCTTGTTTCATTTTTCTCTCAGTCTACGTGTGGCAGCCACTCTGTGTAGTTATATTTTGACTGTCAACACATAAGCAGTGGTGACACATTTGGGTAACACCAGCTACACATATAGCACTAGGTCAGCATTCTGTAGTGCTTAGAGCTGGTTGAGTCTGCATGTTCAGACAGTCCAACATGCTGTAATACTTAGCTAGAATAAGGGGAAGAAGAACTAAATAAATGTAAGAATAAATAAACTGCCTAACAAAGGTTGTTAATGTGGTTGTCGATGCCTTGCAAAAAAAATGAGTTTCTTCACATTTTAAAAGCTGTAAATAAGCAAAGGGAGGAGTCTGAGAAACTGCCCAAAGTAATTATCTCATAAGGAAATTCAAATTACTGTATTAATCCAGGTAATACACATATAGAATCAATTCAATTTAAGGGTGCGCTCTCACTCCCAGTTTTAACTGTGCCCGAGCACAGTTCCCCCTAGGTAAAGTTCTTCTGTGCACTGTGAGTGCTCCGAACTGTGCTCAGGAAAAGGTAAATGTTACCTAGCCCAAAACCACTTGAAAGAGGTAGTTCCAGGCATGTTTTACTTAAGGTCCAGTACAGTTAGCATGCGTGCAAACTGTGCCTTGAGCACAGACCTCTTCATAGATCACTGGGTACAGAAGTAGGGATCCCTTTGGTCTGCTTGGCAGAGGTGATGATGTAAGTGTGCCCAGGAACACTTACTTATTGCCCAGTGAGCTTGCAGACTAGTGGGGGAGCGGGGAGGAGGAACAAACTCTTCTCAGTTTAACCATGCCCCTTGTGACTGCACCCTTGATAATCTGTATTACCTTTTGCAGTTCTTTTATCTTTATAGAAAGGTATCACAACTGCTTTGGTCTTATTCAATGAACATTGAACATTGGAGAAAAGTGCATATTAACCCATACAGCATTCATTTGCCTTTTTGAAGTCACATCAGTAAAAATGGGAATCAAATTGGTTATTGTGGCTACTGCAATTTGTACCGAACATTGTCCTCATTACACTTAAATAGTCCTTTCTCTTGAGTGTTGACTGTTCTTTCCTTGCAGCAGAGATCAGAGATGTGGTCAAATGTCTAGGTTTTTGGTCATGTGGAAGTTTGGAAAGCCAAAAGGTTGCCTTAGTTTTTGGCAATCTGGCTATAGTGATAAAGGTTTGGGTTTTTATTGCTAACTCACTGGGCTGCTTTACCCACACGTTTTGACTTTGAAACGGCCAGTCCTCTCGCAAGGGGATATCCCACTATTGATAGCTGTCTCTGATAGAGGAGATGAGAATAAATTCCCCGATAGAACTCCTAGGTGGAATTTTGTCTCATTTTGTGGAGATTTCCTCCTGCTTCCTATTGTATCATTAGGGAAGTGAAGGAGTAATCTTCCCAAGAAGACTAAAGTACCCGAAACAACAAAAGGGTGGCTTCACAGGATTACAGTTCCTTTGGCAGGTAAAACAGTTCCCATCTATCTATTTCAACTGTGTATTAACTTGTTGCTTAAAATTAAAATGTAAGTATAAGACAGCCTTTATTTTGTTCACATTTTAAGGTTATTTTATTCCTTTTAATACAGATACGATGGGAGAAAAATATCACTTTAGGCGAACCCCCTGGGTTTTTACACTCCTGGTGGTGGTAAGATTACTTTTTTAAATACCAGTTAATAAATACACTGTTTTACTTACATAAATGTAACAAAACGTTTATGTGTTTGCATATTTTGTGTTGTTACTTTTATCATGTAAAAGTACTACTGGAAGGCATTGGTATTTTTTATGATCATAATTTCTATAAACATTTGTATGCATTTTTTTTCTAGTGTCATCTGTATTAGATGGTATTGTTAGTACCTCTGCTGAGTTACTGTTGTATATGGTTATGGGACAAACAGATTGTGTTGTTTTTAAATAATTTGTAACTTGAGCTGGAAAAGATTTATTCAGTGTACTCCTGCTTTCAAGGAGCAGTCCATACACTTCCAATGAGATACAGAGATAAAGCCTATTAATTAACTGTACTACTAAATACAGTATGGATATACAATAATGTTTACAGTTAGTCCCCTACATATGGACTTTCAAGTTGTGAACTTTCAAAAATACGAACATGCATTTGCATGTCCAATCGCGTGAGTTAGTTCACATTTCTGCATATATTCTCATGCGTGCATCCTGCTTTTGTGTACCTTACACTGTATCTTTATTTCAACCTTTTTTCTATGTATTATCTGTGTGAAATGTGTTTTAAACCTATTACAGTAATATAAGCTAGCTTTATGGACTTACAAACAAATTAGGGCTTACGAACATGCTCTCAGAATGGAACTTGTTCACATGTAGGGGACTTACTTTATACAGTATATACATGTAAAAAAGAAATAAAAAAGTAAATGATTACATTCTCTGTAAAATCTGGAAGACTTCCCAGTTTTGTGCAATGGCTATACTGTATTTTGTAAGTACTGTAGATCAATGCAACCTCTAGATATTGTTGCCAAACATAAAATTAAAAACTTGTAATTGCATACTATGGTTATTTTCCCATTATTAGTTTACAGTATGTAGTAGGGATGCACCAATACCCTTTTTTGATTAACGAGTATGAGTAGCGATACTTTTGGTCAAGTACTTGTCAATACCAAGTACCAATACCTTGAGGTTGCGATTTGCATCCATACAAAATGTGTGGACACAAAATGTACCGCAAAGAATAGCATGCAATTTGAACAGGAATGCAATTCCAGTCCAAATTGCATGCGGCTTCCCCACTGCTCCTGTGCGAACCCAGGCTTATCATAGGAAGGGAAACCTCCCTGCACTGATCCCATGCTGTCACAAAAGGAAAAGCTGGAGATATGAAATCCGCACAGCTTTCTCTCCTCTCAGTGCAGGTATGACAATACAGGCTAGATGGCTTTTGATTGGTCAGCATCACCATGGCGCTGAACAATCAGAAGCCGTTTAGCCTGTACTGTTATCTCTGCAAAGAGAGGAGAGAAAGCCGCTTCACAGGTCTGGGAATTTGAAACCTCTGAGACTTTCTCTTCTTGCAGGGATGACATTATGATTGAGTGTGTGTGTATATACTGTGTGTATATATATATATATATATATATATATATATATATATATACAGGTGCTCAGCATGAATGAGTGCACCCCTTTTAACTAGTAGCCGACCGCAGATAGCCGAATGACGGCTGCACTGCGGCTGGCCAGTTCTGGGTGGACGTCATATGACGTCCTCCCAGAACGCGCTCTCCTGCGCACCCCAGGGGGCGCGCACCCGGCGATCTCCGTGATCGCTGTGTCCTACGGACACAGCTGATCACGTGATGTGGTAAAAGGCCAATCACAGCGGCCTTTTACCACGTGATCAGCGGTGTCCAATGACACGCTGATCAGAGGGAAATGCAAGTGCCGGTTCTCGGCTGCACTTTCCTCACGCTGTCAGATTGTGAGGAAAGTACTGTCGAGAACCGGCAGTTGTCAGAGCGGGGATCGGCACCGATCATCAGGGCACTGATGATCAGTGCCCTGATGATCGGTGCCCAACAGTGACACCTGCAAGTTCCGCCCACCTGTGCCCAGCAGTGCGCCCACTAGCTCCACCCCGCCACCCGTGCCCAGCAGTGCACCCACCTGTGCCCAGCAGTGCACCCACCTGTGCCACTCTGCAGTGCCACCTACCTGTGCCCAGAAGTGCCACCTACCTGTGCCCACCAGTGCCACCCACCTGTGCCCACCAGTGCCACCCACCTGTGCCCACCCACCAGTGCTGCCCACCAGTGCCACCCACCAGTGCAGCCCAGCAGTGCTGCCAGTCAGTGCCACCAGTCAGTGCCCAGGGGTTGTGCCAGTCAGTGCCGCCAGTCAGTGCCCATCAGTGATGCCAGTCAGTGCCGTCTATCAGTACCCATAATCAGTGTCACCTATCAGTGCCGCCTATCAGTGCTGCATATTAGTGCCGCCTATCCGTGACACCTCATTAGTGCTGTCTATCAGTGCCGACTATCCGTGCCACCTCATTAGTACTGCCTATCAGTGCCCTTTAGTGCTGCCTATCAGTGCCCATCAGTGCCGCCTATCAGTGCCCATCAGTGCTGCCTCATCAACGCACATCAGTGAAGGAGAAAAAATACCTGTTTGAAAAATTTTATAAAAGAAACAAAGAAACTTTTTTTCTTTCACATTTTTTGCACTTTTTTTATTTATAGCGCAAATAGTAAAGTGCCCGGTGGCGATTAAATACCACCAAAAGAAAGCTCTATTTGTGAGAAAAAAATTATCAAAATTTCATATGGGTACAATGTTGCATGACCGCGCAATTGTCAATCAAAGTGCGGCAGCGCTGAAAGCTGAAAATTGGCCTGGTAAATAAGGGGGTATAAGTGCCCGGTAGGCAAGTGGTTAAAAAGTAAGATTTTAATCAATATCTCAATGAACACAAGAACAATTGGAGAGTGATGCTCAACTTGTCTCTTCAGAATTCCCCATAGGTGTTTGATTGGGTTCAGATCAGCAGACATACTTGGCCACTGAATCACTTTCACCCTGTACTTCTTCAGAAATGCAACAGTGGCCTTAGATGTGTGTTTTGGATGATTGTCATGTTGGAAAAGTGCACAATGACCAAGGACAAGGAGTGATAGTAGCATCTTCTAATTCAATATAGAGCATTGAATTCATGATGCCTTCAAAGAAATGCAGCTCCCCGACACCTGCATGCAGCACTCTGCCACCACCATGTTTCACTCTAGGTACCATGCATTTTTCTTTGTACTCCTCACCTTTGTGAAGCCATACAGTTTTGAAGCCATTATTTCCAGAAACATTTATCTTGGTGTCATCACTCCAGAGTACAGAGTCCCAGTAGTCTTCTATTTCAGCATGGGCCCTGGCAAATCCTCGTTGGGCTTCCTTGTGCATGGGCTTTAGGAGAGGCTTTCTTCGTGGACGACACCCATGCATGCCATTCCTCTGCAGTGTATCCTATATTGTGTCACGGGCAGGGGCAGACTGACAACTCATGGGGCCCCCGGGCAATACGGGATCATGGGGCCCCTGTGTCCTTACCCAAACTCAAAAAAAGCCTATGAAAAAGGTACCAGGGGCATCTCATGGGGCCCCCTATTGACCCCGGTCCCTTTGGCAATGCCCAAGTTTCCAAATGGTCAGTCCGCCCTTGGTCACGGGACACAATCACCCCAGTTTGGCCTTCTACTCCTTTAGCTAACTGCAGCGAACTTGCATGGTGATCAAGGTGTTAACTTCCGTGGACGGCCTGGAAGTTCCATCTTTGTTAAATGTACTGTATGTATCACTTTTGCTACAGTATTCTGATACTGATTCTGATAAGGGAAGCTTTGCTGATATTCTTGTAGCCGTCACCTATCTTATGTACTAAAATGATTGTCTTTCTTCCATGTGATGCCATTGCTGACAGCATGAAATGGGAAGGGGATTTCTTTGTTAAGTAATGCCCTTTTATAATTTAGCTGAATTCCTGTTAATTTAGATTCTATTGTCTAAAATGTATCTTTGCTCCTAAGACTTTCATTGGGGTGTATTCATTTTTGCAACATGGTCTTGATTGAATTTGTTAGGAAAAATATTTTTTTGTGTGTGCAAATTAACAAATCTTCTTTGCAATCAATGGCCCGCATTTGTTGGAGTATTTTGTAGTATAGTGTCCTATAGAAAGTGTTGATTCTGAAAGGAAAATAAAGGTTTTCTGACATATCTGTTGGGGTGTACTCATTTATGCTGAGCACTGTATATATATATATTTATATATATATATATATATATATATATATATATATATTTGCCTCACATATTTTTACACAAAAAACAGATAGATATGAAAGTGTCCATTTTAAAATATAGTCTGTGTAACATGTTTTATACACTGGAGTTGATTTACTAAAGAAGTAGTATGTGTTAACTTAGGGGTGTACTCACTTTTGTTGCCAGCAATTTAGACATTAATGGCTGTGTGTGTTGAGTTATTTTGAGGGGACAGCAAATTTACACTGTTATACAAGCTGTACACTCACTACTTTACATTGTAGCAAAGTGTCATTTCTTCAGTGTTGTCACATAAAAAGATAGAATAAAATATTTACAAAAATGTGAGGGGTGTACTCACTTCCGTGAGGTACTGTAATTGGGTATTTTTCACAAAGTGATTTTTTCACTTAGCTTGACCTCATTGACTAAGCTAAATGGAAATTCCCTTTGCAAGTGGACATACTCTCCTCATTTAGTAAATCAACCTCAATGCTTAATTTCAAAGTGAATGTTCACTTAGTTTAGCAGGGACCGGATGAATTTCAATCTCTGTGTGGCCCTCCCTGTTCAACTGCCTGTGCTCAAAAACTGTCATTGATCAGCAGCTTCAGTCAATCAGCTGCAGCCAATGATCAGTGTAATCTGACATTAGAAAGTCCCCGCTGTCAAAATACAATGTTGCAGCAGAGAGGATTCCTCCATCCACCTTGCTTGTGTGGATGGGGGAATCTTTTTTTTCATTCAGCCAACCAGCTGAAGAAATAACATTTGGCCTTTTCTCATCAGCAGTATATAGCAGTCTTTTGACTTCTATCAGTATCTGGCTGAGCACTGGTTAATCTTGTTGGATGAGTTTTCATTCTCCTCTGACTTCTCTATGAGGCTGCATGACCTCTGGACAGTGCTGATTGGCCTTGTGCAGATCATATGCACCCTCCAAAAAAAAACTCTTTAGCAACACACACCAAACTGAGTATGTGCAGAGCGCCTCTTAGGGCTCTCAGCAGATGGATTGGAGACTGTGGAAGAAGGGGAATATCAGCGAAGACAGGATCAAACAACCTTTTTACACAATGCACGGAATTAACCCCTTATGTTCCATAGTGAGTTTAACAAGCATGTTTTACTGCATATACAGGTGTGCTCAAAAGTTTGCATATCCTGGCAGAAATTGTGAAATTTTGGCATTGATATTGAAAATATGACTGATCATGCCAAAAATACTCTTTTATTGAAGGATGATGATCATATGAAGCCATTTATTATCAAATAGTTGTTTGACTCCTTTTTAAATCATAATGATAACAGAAATCACCCAAATGGCCATGATCAAAGTTTACATATCCTGAAATGTTTGGCCTTGGTACATGGTGTGTGTCACCTTGTGTGTCTGTACCAAGGCCAAACATTCCAGGGTATGTAAACTTTTGATCAGGGCCATTTGGGTGATTTCTGTTATCATTATGATTTAAAAAGGAGCCAGACAACTATTTGATAATAAATGGCTTCATATGATCATCATCCTTCAATAAAAGAGCATTTTTGGCATGGTCAGTCATATTTTTAAGATCAATGCCAAAATTTCACATTTTCTGTCAGGGTATGCAAACCTTTGAGCACAACTGTACAGACTGATGATTTTACTGTTGTGAGTTTAGCAACACTTTAAAAGAATATTATTTAGCCCTTTAGTAAATCAAGTTAATTGCTCTAAGCCAAAGGCTTATTGTACTGTATTGTGCATGTAACAGGCCAACTTTAAATTGAAACGGCAATATACTTTTTTAAAGAACAAAAGTGGCTTCAAGGTTATCAATATACTTTAAAATCAATATTGAAGGTCCTTTCTTGTTTTGTTTTGTTTTTGTAGATATTAGGATTAACTAGCTGCCAATTACTGTACATTGTATGTGATTTCAAAGTCTGTGCATATTTGAGGAGAAATGTTGATTTCTGATTGTCAAATGAAAAGAATTGCCATTGTTGGAGGGAACAAGTATTCACTGTTTTTAGCAGTTATATAAAATAACATATAGTGGCAAACTGAAATGGAACGTTAAGGAGGACCAGAAGCTATAAAAAGAACAAACAGGAGAACACAAACGCCTAGTGCTTTAACAAAAGCTTTTCTTAAAAGTTAGCACCAAATATGCCAATTTTATACTCACAAAGCAAATAAGATACAGGCAGTATATCACACCAAACTCAGGCCAGTGGTAGAAGAGTGTCACCTGATCCCATACATCACAGAGGTGTCCGTTTATGAACCAGCAGTAATATATTGCTGCTCAGTTCTCCGGCATTCTCGGAGAACACAGTTCTCCTGTGAATGCCATTTATGAAGCATATGTAGATCAGTTCTCCAAACGAAGGGAGGACGGTCTACAAACTCTGGAAAACGGCTGATTTTACTATAATCTCGTGAGATTACAGTAAAAGATCAGTTTACTAAGCAGAGGTAAATTATCTCTGCTTAGTTTGCGGTCCCTCCGATTCTCCAGCTCTGGGCTGGAGAATCTGGAGGGAGAACACAGATCTCCAGTGAAGGGCTGAACATGTTCTCCTGAGTGTTATAAACTGTGAATGACCAGAGAATAGCTGCGATCCTCTGAATCACAGCTATTCTCTGTGTCATAAAAGGACACCTCAGTTAGCAGGCTAATATGTTTCAGAGAACTCACAGAGCTATCAGAAGCTGTGCCCAAAAAGATAAGCAAAGGACAAAGGACTAATCACTAGGGATACATTTTGGTTTTATCATGAGTTCAACCCAAACCCAACACACAGTTGTTCACAGTTCGGCGACTATATGGCCAGATTTGGCCCGTTCTCCTATCTACCTGAACCTGTGGCTGCTGCAATCGGAAGTCATTCATTTAGTGATGGTACCACTAGATGACAGATTTTCACCTGCTAGCTTGTTTTAGTTACCAATCCAGTGTGGATCCTGGGCACATCATGACCACATATGGTTATTGAAGTCAGCAAGTATCCCTGACTGGTTTGTTTTGCTTTCAGTGGAAAAAGATTCTCGTGTCATGGGTTGTTATAGGCAGAGCATTGGGGTGTTGTTCATTGTGATTGACATTGGATCTACATAGCTGGATGACATGATTAACGTTTCATTTACATTGTGGAAGACTTTTTTTAAATAATGGACTTTTACTGCATAGTATGTTATTTTTACTGTTGGCATTTTTAAAAAATTAGTATTGAGGACTACTATGTGCACCATCATAATTCATGTGGGGGGGAATATCTGGAGCCCCCTGTTCTAAAAGGGGCTTCCACATTCCAATATATCCTCCTTCTCCTGCAGAACCCCACATCACTTGGCCAGGAATTTGGGGATAAAGCCATTGTTGCCATGAATATGGAGATATGTGGCCTGGTATAGTTAAGAAGGCTAGGTGCCTACATACTTTTTTTCTATTTAGAGTAAGGCTCTTATAAGGATTTTGAGAGGGAGCTGTCTTTTTTGTTTGTTTGTTTTTTCTTCTGTTGGACACATGGCATTGTATGTTTCAGGAGGGGTACACACACTCGCTGTTCACCCCTTTCTTGACCACCAAGGCTGCATGCTTGGATAAGGCCTTGTATGGATTTTGTGGGGGACCTCATGCAAAACATCAAATAAAAATTGTGACCCTCTCAAAATCCATTCTAGATCCTTATCCAATGTGTAGGGTCTGGAAAGGATTTTGAGAAGGACCCCACTCTTCCAAACAGAATAAAGCTGGCAATACAATGTTGTTTAGTGGTATTAGTCTTTTTCTTTAAGTGTCACTTTTGTAGGAGCACATATTATTGGTTGAATGGGAAAGACTTGTGTCTTTTTTTCCAACCTGACTAACTACATAACTATGTAACACTGTACAGGTGCATTATATAAATTTCCATTTCACTACCTAGAAAGTATTTTGCCTAAACCAGTATGCACCTTTTAAGTGTCTGGAGATTCTTGGTTAATGGCAAAGTAGAAAATAAGCAATAGTAGCTCTTATACCTCTATCCTGCTAGGTTTCCTTTAAAGTACTTTTCAACCTAAAAATTGAGATTCCTTCTGTCAATGCTTTGTATATAAATTAGGGCAGAAAAAATGA